GTTCTTGTGTTCTTCTCGTTCTTGTGTTCTTCTCGTTCTTCTTGTTCTTGTGTTCTTATGTTTTTGTGTTCTTCTCGTTCTTCTTGTTCTTGTGTTCTTCTTGTTCTTGTGTTCTTCTCATTCTTCTTGTTCTTGTGTTCTCCTTGTTCTTCTCATTCTTCTTGTTCTTGTGTTCTTCTCGTTCTTCTCATTCTTCTTGTTCTTGTGTTCTTCTTGTTCTTCTTGTTCTCGTGTTCTTATGTTATTGTGTTCTTGTGTTCTTGTGTTCTTATGTTCTTGTGTTCTTATGTTCTCGTGTTCTTATGTTCTCGTGTTCTTCTCGTTCTCGTGTTCTTATGTTCTTGTGTTCTTCTCGTTCTCATGTTCTTATGTTCTCGTGTTCTTGTGTTCTTATGATCTTGTGTTCTTATGTTCTTGTGTTCTTATGTTCTCGTGTTCTTATGTTCTCGTGTTCTTCTCGTTCTCGTGTTCTTATGTTCTTGTGTTCTTCTCGTTCTCATGTTCTCGTGTTCTTGTGTTCTTATGATCTTGTGTTCTTATGTTCTCGTGTTCTTCTCGTTCTCGTGTTCTTATGTTCTTGTGTTCTTCTCATTATGATCTCATGTTCTTATGTTCTTGTGTTCTTGTGTTCTTCTCGTGTTCTCGTGTTCTCTCAGCGATCTCTCCGGCCGACGTGAACTACTACGAGACCCTGAGCACGCTCCGCTACGCCAACCGCGCCAAGAACATCATCAACAAACCCACGGTGAACGAGGACGCCAACGTCAGGCTCATCCGAGAACTGCGGGCGGAGATCGCTCGGCTCAAGGCGCTGCTGCTGCAGGGGAACCAGGTACGGAACGGCAGAACGTTCCAGAAGACGACTTTAGTCCACGTTCGCTTTTCAAAATTAATGTTTAATTTTAATTATTTTGGTTTGATTCCAGATCGCGCTGCTGGACTCGCCCACGGCTCTGAGCATGGAGGAGAAACTGCACCAGAACGAGGCCCGGGTCAGTCCAGATTTAGACCCCGTTTAGACCTGGTTTAGTCCTGGTTTAGATCTGGTTTAGTCCTGGTTTAGACCTGGTTTAGTCCTGATCTTTCTTCTTTCTGCAGGTTTTGGAGTTGACTAAAGAATGGACCAATAAATGGAACGAGACTCAGAACATCCTCAAGGTACAGAGTTTATTCAGTCCTGGTTCAGTCCTGGTTCAGTTCTGGTTCAGTCCTGGTTCAGTCCTGGTTCAGTTCTGGTTCAGTCCTGGTTCAGTTCTGGTTCTTGGTTTCAGGAGGAGACTCTGGCGTTGCGTAAAGAGGGTATCGGCGTCGTTCTGGACTCAGAGCTTCCTCATCTCATCGGCATTGACGACGATCTGCTCAGCACCGGGATCATCCTGTACCACCTGAAGGTACCAGTGCCTCAGGAGCTTCAGGGGATTCAGTGTCTTCAGGGGCTTCAAGGGGCTTCAGAAGCTTCAGGGGCTTCAGGAGCTTCAGTGTCTTCAGGGGCTTCAAGGGGCTTCAGAAGCTTCAGGGTCTTCAGGGGCTTCAGGAGCTTCAGGGGATTTAGTGGCTTCAGAAGCTTCAGGAGCTTCAGGAGCTTCAGGGGCTTCAGGAGCTTCAGGGGCTTCAGGGGCTTCAGGAGCTTCAGAAGCTTCAGGGGATTTAGTGGCTTCAGAAGCTTCAGGAGCTTCAGGAGCTTCAGGAGCTTCAGGGGCTTCAGGAGCTTCAGGGGCTTCAGGAGCTTCAGGGGCTTCAGGGGCTTCAGGAGGCTTCAGGGGCTTCAGGGGCTTCAGGGGCTTCAGGAGCTTCAGGGGCTTCAGGGGCTTCAGGGGCTTCAGGGGCTTCAGGGGCTTCAGGGGCTTCAGGGGCTTCAGGGGCTTCAGGAGCTTCAGGAGCTTCAGGGGCTTCAGGGGCTTCAGGAGCTTCAGGAGCTTCAGGAGCTTCAGGAGCTTCAGGGGCTTCAGGAGCTTCAGGGGCTTCAGGAGCTTCAGGAGCTTCAGGAGCTTCAGGAGGTTCAGGAGTTCACTTCTGTGTCTGGAGACTCAGAGAAACAACGATATTCAATATAAGATCGACTCGTTGGATCTTGGTGTTGGTGGATTCACTCATCGTTCGTTCATTCGTTTTTCAAAATAAAACCAAAAATAAGAAAATGAAAAGAGAAAGTCGTATCGAATCGTGGTGAAATCGTCATATCGAATCGTGGTGAAATCGTCGTATCGAATCGTGGTGAAATCGTCGTATCGAATCGTGGTGAAATCATCGTATCGAATCGTGGTGAAATCGTCGTATCGAATTGTGGTGAAATCGTCGTATCGAATTGTGGTGAAATCGTCGTATCGAATCGTGGTGAAATCGTCGTATCGAATCGTGGTGAAATCGTCGTATCGAATCGTGGTGAAGTGGTCAAATCGAATTGTGGTGAAATTGTCGTATCGACTCGTGGTGAAATCCTCGTATTGAGTCGTATCGACTCTTGGTAAAGTCGTCGTATCGACTCGTGGTGAAATCGTCG